AATAATAATAATAATAATTTGGTATTAATCATAGTTTTCTAGCTTAAGAATTACTGTATACCAATAAAAAGTCACCAAACTTATGGGGTTTCCTTTCATAATTTATAATAAAATGACTAGTTGACTACCTTTTTTTTTTTTCTTTTGAAAATGGTAATTAGTACATTACATTTTTAGTATCTGTTTTGGAGAAGGAGAATCTCACAATCCTAGAGCTCGAACTCGCAACCTCATCAAGGAATGATTTCCATTTTCCACTAAGTCAAGTGGTAAGTTACTTGATCTGGAGCGTAGAAATCGAGCAATGGTCCACGTTGGTTATAATAAATCCTCACGCGAATTACGTGACATATCTATTTATGTGTCTCACCAAATAAAATATATATATATATATATATATTTATACCACCGAAAGTGAAATAGTTAGAAAAAATATCGTTAGTTCATGTTGTGATATTTTATTATCAATAACTACTGCAACCACCGATTTATTGATTCAAATAAAAAGAATTTAGTTTTTTTTAAATTATTTCGAGTCTTGTGAATAGAGAAACAGATACTGGAAGGGTTTCTTCACTTATGAGATTTAATATGACTTAATTTCAGATTCAGATGAGTCGAGATCTAATGCGATTATCAGATATCAAAATGTTAATATCAAAAAATAAAAATAATAATAATAATAATGGATACTACAAACAAATTACTTTTCCAAGTAATAATTAACCAGAAAATGAATCAACGTTTGGAAGCTTCATACATGCTCAAGTCCCATGGAAGAAGATGAAAAACTTTCTTTTACAAATGTTTGAAAGAAACTTCCTCGGGCAGGTTGAGGTTAGACACCTTTCTCCTAACACCTCTTTAAGTCTCACCAAATTTGGCAAGAAATAACCCATTACTTGATTGAGATGAATTAAGAATTTATTCTGGTTTAATTATAACTTTTCCAAGAACTCCAAAATTCATTAATACTTGGAAGGACCTAGAAGCCCTTAGCCCCAACGACCAACCCACACTAGGATAAGTAATGAAATGTTGGTCTTTCATGGTGTCATATTGTCAAAAGTAGCTATTAAGTTAGGCCACCAAAAGTAATTACATAATAATTAGCCATCAATCAGTTTACAAAGAACTAAGGCCACTGTATTACATACTTCGTGTTTTATAGCATGAGGTTTGAATGATCTTAGACCAATTCATCAACGAGAAATAACAAACTTTTATAGATAACTCACTCTAATATGAAAAGAAACAAATAAATTTTATTAATTTGTTAACGTAAACATTTTAGTGATAATCGTGTTTTTTTATATAAAAATAAGTAATTCTAACTTTAAGTTATGAGTATGTGAATAAGGTATAAGTAAGGACATCGAAAGACAATTGCCCCCATTATGTTAACCCAAAATCACAAGGAAAAGAAAAAAGCTTCATTAATCATTATAAAAAAAAAAAGAAAAAAAAAAGAAAAGAAATAAACATAAGGACCTAGTTAACTTACTTTTCAATCTTATACTTACTTTGAAGTTCTAAAATTTATATTACTTTTAAATTTTAAATTTCAAAATGTCACTAATAAGGTCTTCGGCTCAATTAAAATGACTAAAGCCCCATAATCCTAAGTTCATGAGTTGAACTCTAACTATAAATTAAGATATTTGTATGATATCCAATTTACATACTTTATTTGTACTCTATTCTCTATAAAAAAAAATGTCCATTTAAAAAAAAATGAGACATTTTTTCCACCTTCACCTCATGGTGTTAAAAACATTTCATTATATCAATTTTCTAAACGAACAAAAGTTCCCTTATATTAATTTGAAAGTAGATGGATGAAAAATATATTAAACCTACTACACATTAAGAAAACAGTGCATTTCAATTGTGTTGCCTAAAAATTTAAAATTTTAAAAATCTAAAATTATATCATTTTAATAAGCATTCACAAAAATTGACTAAAATAACAATATAATAAAAAGACTGAAGAGGGAGAATTATTTTAATCTTTACCATGTGTGTCTATTAAATAGATGAACAAATGTATCAAAGATATATTTTTATGAACAGATGAATCACAACTACCCTCCTTTTAGCTTGTTTTTGTTGTCTCACTTGTTAAATAATGACAATTTAATTTAGTTGTCCAAAATTTTATAATAAAGTTACATTAAATGTTATTATTCTAATTTTACCCCTACTCTATAAGCATCAATTATTGTATTAAATAAAGTCTTTTATGAAAAAAAAA